CTCCCCAAACCCTCAAACTCTAATTCGGAAAATAATTCCAAGGTTTCAGCTACGATCAATCATAGACCTTGTGTCAACTGTTTCAGTTTGGCACCTTTACCTTTAGTCATATTGTTGTTAGTTTCCCTGCTTTTGCAGCAAAATTAGACCCTTGACCTTGTGATCGGTGGACCTCGCTTTTAAGTAAAGCCCCATTTATTAAATTGGGGTGGTGGTAGGTACCAAACACAATGAGCCCAGGGTATCACGGTCTCATTGGACTCCCTCTCTATGCATGCAATACATCGAATACAACAAAAAGTCATCGAGGCAAATACTTCATTATTAAGTAACCGAGACCACAAGCTGGACCATGACAACACTAATCAATCAGGTAAACGGGTACCAATGGTTGTCTGTGTTTGTTCGGACTACACGCGGCATCCATTATCCAACGAGCTTATTTCAAAGTTTACAATCTTCATTACTTCATTAGACAATACAATTCCCATCGGTCATCGCACAGTTTCACATCCAATTCCTTCATCTGAGTTTATATTGCTGGGGTTGGAGTTGTACTATGATGGAAAAAAGCTCCACCCAAACTCCCAAACCCGGCACCAGACCCTCTAGGTTTTTTTGTTTTTTCCCGATGCAAATCTGAATCAGATACAAAATTTGTATTAGGTTTTGTTTTACATCTATTTATTTGTATTTTGTGATTATAATTTACATACATACATTTTTTTTTATGTCTTATTTATACTTGTTAGCAGTGTAAATTTTACATCTAAAAAGCTGATGCAAAATTTGCATCACTTTCTTTCATTCTTCCTCAATTTCCTCTCCTATAAAGGAGGGACCATATCATATTACTTCGTACCTCATTTACAAACAAATAAACTTTCCTCTGGCCTCCATTCTCTTGCATATATAAGTTGGTCTACACCATTTTGCTTCCAATTTATCTCTCACAAATAAACAACAAACAAATAAGAGAAGGTCAAATCTATAATAAAAGTAATTTACATTCAACCTCCATGCATTATACCAAATGAAATTTGCATGGCAACCAAATGCAGCCTTGATGGGATTATCATATTCCAAGGTTGTGTCCTGACAAGCCACGACAACAGATTTCATAGATATCAACCTTACCTATCACAATTGGATTGAGAGTGTAAATTCTATCTTTGGTAGGTAGACAAATGGGGAACTCGGGTTCTGTCCAATTTTGAGGAATTTTCATTGAAACTCAAATTGGACTGGCTCATGAAAACCGAGTAGGGAGTAAAACCAACCCGATTATGTACCAATAAGGGAAGAGTGACCGAGTCTGAATGCACGTGTGAATGTGGCCGACCCCTTCGACGTCTATGTATCACACAAGTCACAACAATAAAAGTTAAAGAATATGCTTTTAAGTATTCAGGCCCCGGAAAGTTGAATTGGTTCTTGTGGGGTAGGGTTACGTGCTAACCCATTAATCAACAATTCGTTAGTATTATTGATTGATTGGAGGTGGGTAATGGGCCTTCACTTCTCCTTTTATTCTGGATTCCATCTTACTTGAAACCACAGTTTGGTATGACATTTTGGAGTTCTCTTACATGACCAAAGTACCCTTTGGTTTAAAGAAAAAGGACGCACTTGTACTCTGTTATCCAACTATAATACTTATTTATTAAGGGATGAAAATTCCACCGGGTAAATTTCTATGAAAGCCATATTCGGTATCCCTATGCTCTGGGTTTACAAACAAGGTGCATTAAAAAATATGCCAAAGAAACTGAAGCACCCACTGACCCAAAAACATAACAAGACAACCGATTTCCCTCTTCCTCCCAAGTTCTATTAATTTACCATGATAATCGAGGTTCAAAATGTCGATACTCTCCCTAAGTATTAAACCGCATATCGCCTTATTCCAACAATCGGTACATATTAAAAACCCAAGGGTTTGTTTGGTTCAGGGTCAAAATTGGAATTGAAATTAAAATTAGGGAAATACAAAAACTTCCACTTAAGTTTCTAATAATGATAAACAGCTTCCCTATAGTTTTACTCTAGCAATAACCTCCCCTCTATTTAAAAAAAAAAAAAAGACAATACCTCCCTTTCGTCATTGGCCAAGACAGAAAACATGTACAATTATATTTTTACTCTTAGGCGTCATTTGATCAATTTGCAAAATTCTGTGTTCAAAAATATTCCACTTCTCCAAATATTTCATCCGTTTTCCAGTGACCGTACTTCACCGGAGACAATCATTTAACGCTGCTCTTCACCAAAGACTATTATTCTGTTCATTTTTTGAGAAACCAGACTGGAGACTATCTCCATTCTTCATTGGAGACTACCGTTGTTCTTCACCATTCTTCACCAGAGACTATTTTGCTGTTCATTCTCTGAGAATCCATATTGTTCTTTACCAGAGACCGTAGTTCTTTCTCTATTCTTCACCGGGGACTATTTTGCTATTCATTCTTGAGAATTAGACTGTTCTTTACTGAAGACTATCATCGTTCTTCATAGGAGACCATTTTTTATGTTCATTCTCTAATAATCTACTGCCGTTCTTTCTCTGAGAATCGAAGTATTGATCAACAGATCTTTGTTCATTCTCTGAAAATCATCCAAGGAGTTCATTTTTTGTATTTCTTTTTGGTAGCTATCATGATAATCCAAGGAGTTCATCTAAGAATTGAAATATTGATTGACAGATCTGTGTTCAATCCAAGTAGTTAGACAAATCTGTTTCCTCTTGTTAATTCTTAAAAGGGTAAAATAAGTATTTTGAAAAAAAAAGCCATTGGTTTAACGTTTTCTGTCTAGTTCATTGACAGAAGGGAGATATCTATCAGTTCTTTTCAAAAATAGAGGGGAGATTTTTGCTAAAGTGAAACTATAGGGGAGGTTTTTATGTTTGTCAGAAACTTTAGGGGAGATTTTTGTATTTAATCCTTAGAATTAAAATCCCCTATTCCCAACAGCTGTTTGATTTAGATGAGAATTGATGCCAAATTTCAATCGTTGCTGTTTGGTTCATTTGGAAGCCAAAATTGATACCAACTGAAATTTTCATTTTTTTTTCCCTAAAGCTATGTTTGATTTGAAGGAAAAAACAGGGAAATGAAGGGAAATATAGAGAAACCTTTACAAACCTTGTATAAATTTTCCTAACTTTTCCTTTCCCTACATATTCCTTCAAACCAAACACAACCTAAAGGTGGGGACAATTGAAGAAGAAGAAGAAGACTATTGGCTGACAATCGGTCTTACCTCAATGTTGCTCTGTTTGGTGGCAATTTTAGCAATGACAACAATAAAGGGGAGGAAGGAGAGAAAGAATAAGGCGGCGGTCAATCTTACCTCGCCACTGCATTGTTCGTGGTTTTAGCAGTAATGGTGTAGAGAGAGAGAGAGAGAGAGAATATGACCAACAGTTGGTCTTACCTCATTAGAGAAGGATTCATCGGTCATTTGAGTAGGGGGTCACCGCTAGTAGGGATAGATGGAAGAAGGATTAGGGTCAGGTAAGGTGTATTGGGGTTTGGGTTTTTTCTTTTTTGGGCCAACATCTTTATTTTTGAGAAACTCTGAATGAGGAATCCCATTCCTCGGGGACCAGAATGACCATTCACCATATGAAGGAATGCCATTCTCACCAACCAAATGATGTAAATTGAAATGGCGCTTTTTGGTTCCAATTCTGGACATCAATTTCAAGAAATCAAATAGATTCTAAGGGGGCGTTAGTTTTTTGGATTTTGAGAGGGGGAAATTGGTCAATAAGATTTTGGTTCCCATTGACCAAAAAACCCATATTCTTTTTTTATACTTATGTGGGAATTAAGGAAAATTTATTTTTTTTGCGTATCACTTATTTGGGGAAAATTGCCAACACTTGGATGTAACAAAAATACCCCTTTTAATAAATGATTTTTATAGCCAAAACAATCATTATCTTATTTAATTAAGAAATAAAAAAATACAGATGAATGCATTTACAAGAAAACGCTTAAACTTATAGATATATGTATTTACATAGATAAATAACTTACTGAAAAATGAATGGGTCAAAGTTTCACATATCACCGAGTTTGATACATTGTTTTCACACCTAATGCAATGGTTTAAACTTGGAAAATGTCCCGGCTGAATTAAAATTGACATATTATTATATAATAAGCTACGATTATTTTGAACCTTGCAAATAATGGGTCATGTTTCAAATTGAGGTGAATCATGATTCTTAAATATTCCTTTTACTGGTAAGGAATAAGAGTGTCTTCCACTCTTCCCTTGAAAGAGGAAAGCTAACAGTCAACAGACCTTAATAACCATTGATATACAGGCAGTTGCCTGGTTTTGTTTGACATATATAAAATAGAAAAAGATACTCTTCGCTCTTCATTTTAGGCTGTATGATCCTAATTCCTGATTCTTGAAACTTGAAAGGATCATTTCTTTTTTTGCATAACATGGCTGCACAGATCCCGTGTCACCAGTGGATGGTCCCATCTCCCATGTATGATGACGTGTTCACTCTTAATTGCTTACGTTACGCAGAGATACCCATACGAATACGATGCACAAAATCAAGTCAACTGCCGATTGGTGTTTGTTAGATAGAAAGTCGTTGAACGCAACGCTGGAGGATTGGCTCTTCTTAGGATTTTTTCTAAATTTTGTCCATGGAACGAGAGTGAGAATCAATGTGGAAAGGAGAAATAAGAGTAGATTTTCGAAGTATATCTGTCGTCTGTGTCTACACTCTGCAGACTGCTGAATTTGGGACTGGCGTCCCTGGTGACACGGCCATTGGCCAATATAGAATTGTAAATGTAAAAGGTAAATGATGGATGAATACAAAAATCAAAACGAATGAGAGAGTTGTAGGATTAAAAATTAAAATTGAAGACTGCGACCACGAGAATTCTGTCCACGCCTACCCACAATACACGAATATCTCCCCCTGCAGAGAATGAGATGTTCTCCATGTGTGGTTAAGATAAATGTGGCAGGAGATCCGGGCTCACACAACAATGCGCTTTTAGCTACCCTCCATTATTTCCTGTACTCTCTCTCTCTCTCTCCTTTCCTCTCCCTCCAAACTGGAAGAGAACAAAAGCAGAGTAAACCATGGTAGTCTCTCCGACAAGCTAACGAAAGGGATATCGATATGGGTAATTGTTGGGTCACTCCCGTTGATAGCCGAAGCCCAAGCACCACCAGACCTACAAGTCCAGGTAATTGATTCCCCTACCAAATTGGAGAATAATAGAAGACTGTTTCCTTGTTACTTTTCTTTTCTTTATCTGGTCTTCAATCATCATCACCTCACATTGGTTGTCTATCTTTTCACTTCTCTGTCACAGAAATTTCATATGTTCTAATGTTCTAATTCCCAGTGCTCTACTTGGGTCTCTTTTTCTCTAATAAAAATCTAAAACTTTCGGTCAAATAATTCATCAATTCTCTGAAAGTTCATATGGGTTCTGTGTTTTTCGTCTTCTGTCGTTTGTTGCACAGGTACATCGAAGCTTAACAGTAGCGGTGGACTTTCAGGCAGCAGCGTTGGCACTAGCCAGTATTCGACAAGCAAATGCCTCGATGAAGCGTATCCGGACGGGCAAATCTTACCAACCCCACACCTGAAGGTTTTCACTTTCGCAGAACTGAAGGCCGCAACGAAGAATTTTAAACCCGATACTGTGCTTGGCCAGGGAGGCTTCGGGAGGGTTTTCAAGGGTTGGATTGATGAAAGTACGTTCTTAGCTTCCAAGACCGGAAATGGAATGGTTGTTGCTGTCAAGAAATTGGATTCCGAAAGCATGCAAGGATACGAAGAATGGCAGGTCCATAATTCCGATAAATTTCTCCGTTTCTCTTTCTTTTGGGATTGTTCTTAGATTTTCTGTCATCTCTCATCTGTGTTCTATCTTCTGTTTTCTGTCTTCAGTCTGTGTCTGCTGGCGAAGGTAAACAAACTTTCGCTGAAGTACCTACTTTAGCTTTTCTTCTTTTTTTATTTACGTTAGATGACAGCCACAGAAGAGAAGATTCCCTTTCGAGTTCCTATTCAAGGGCATTTGAGCATTTCGATGATAATCAACATTTGCTTGTTTACGTGTTCAAATGACATAAACCCCAAATGGAATTTTCAATCATAAACAAAAATAAGGAAACGAAACGAGTCAATTGAAATCTATCCAATTTAATTCAGTAATCCGATTCCGAGCTTCTTTTTTTTCCTTAATTAATTTGGGTTCAAAGCTCAAACCAAATTTGTGAGTTGTATCTATTTGCGTGTTGGTGTAGTCGGAGGTGAATTTCCTAGGAAGACTATCTCATCCCAACCTTGTAAAGCTGTTGGGATACTGCTGGGAGGATAAAGAACTCCTGCTCGTGTATGAGTTCATGCAAAGAGGAAGCTTGGAAAACCACCTTTTCGGAAGTAAGGCAACTCAGCTATATTATACAAAGCAGTTATTAACAAATCAATTAAGCTCGATCGTCTAGTTTTAATTTGCTAATAAATGTGGCGTTGTCTGTGCAGGAGGTGCAGCAATCGAACCACTCTCATGGAATTTACGACTCAAGATAGTAATAGGTGCAGCCAAGGGCCTCGCTTTCCTGCATACATCAGAGAAGCAAATTATATATAGAGACTTCAAGGCGTCCAATATCTTATTAGATGCGGTAAAACCCATGAACCAAACCCTCTTTCTTTGATCAGTAAAACAAATAATAAGTAATAATCTGTGTTGTATGTAGAATTACAATGCAAAGATATCAGATTTTGGGTTGGCTAAAAATGGTCCCTCTGCTGGCGACTCCCATGTGACAACTCGTGTTATGGGCACATATGGTTATGCAGCTCCTGAATACGTAGCCACAGGTATTATTATTATTATTATTATTATTATTATTATTATTATTATTATTATTATTATTATTATACACTCTGTGAGCTGGCTACTTTATTCGAACAGTCTCTATTGTATGTTTCTAGGCTCTAGATAGACTATTTATTATATAGTTGTTTATACTTGCTGATTTATATATGTGTACGTCTTTTAATGGTTGATTCTTGTTTCTTGAGCAAGAATATATTAATTATTCCTTCAGTTGTCTATGCACAAATATAATTGGAGATCATCAATTTGTTAATAATGATGAACAACCTGAAATGAAGATGATTTGATTAAAAAATTGAAACAATTTCTGGCTGTTCATCCTTGAACAGGCCATTTGTACGTGAAGAGTGATGTATACGGATTCGGTGTAGTGCTACTCGAAATGCTTACAGGCCAAAGAGCACTTGACACAAGCCGCCCGAGCGGCCAGACAAACTTGGTGGACTGGTTGAAGCCATCTCTCCCAGATCGGAGAAAGGTCAAAAACATAATGGACCCACGATTGGAAGGCCAATATTCTATGAAAGCAGTACAGCAGGCAGCTCAGCTCACTCTGAAATGTTTGGGGTCAGATCCTAAAAGCCGTCCATCAATGAAAGAAGTCGTCGAAGCTTTGGAAAGGATTGAAGCTATCAAAGATAATAAGCCAAAGCAGTCGAAGATCAACAGATCTGCACAACCTACAGCCCACCGCCATGGCCAGCCACCACCTTTGCACCATCGCTCCCCACTTCACCCAAAGCAAGATCATGACACTACTACTGCTGGCCCAGTAGGCCATGCCCATCATCACTCACCCATTCGCAGGTAACTCATGTATGTATACAAGGTGGATGGCTCTGGGTGATCATGGGATGAATGTCCATGCTCAGCATGTACGTCAGCCAACTGCTTCTATTATCAAAAGATCCTCTATTTTTTTAATGTGATCTTTCAGAAATTACTCTAGCATGGTCTTATTGTTACTGGTTGTGATGAACTTGATGGTTTCATCTTTCATGTGTGGTGGTTTTCAGATTTACATTGAAATGTATGTGACGATGTTCAATATATTAATTTTTAGTTGTATATTAATTAGCATTTAAAAAATTATTTAATATATATAGACCATATTGATTTATTTCAGCCCTACCCCATCTGTGAATTATCACTTGGGCCAATCTAAGATTTTTTTTTTCTCTCTATCTTTTTTTTTTTTTCTTCTAGTAGAATTTCTCGTTCTATTGGTTGGAGAAACATCCCATTTTTTATATTAGTCAGACCCTAGTGAGAGACAAATAATTATCCCTTCTTTTTTTATTATATATGGGACAAATCAAAGTATAGGGCCGGGGTGGCCTTATTTTTCAAAGCATGTTTTTAAGGCATGTGCTTATTGACCAATAAGAATGAGTTGAATTCCGTTTCTTCCTTGAAGGATGCAAGCATCCATCCGAGGAGATAGAAACACTGTAATAATTTGACTATGGTTCGGTTTGATATAGAAAATAAGAGTGAAGAAGATAGTATATATGTAGTTGAGTTGAGCCTTGAGGGAAGCTTCTTTACAAATTTTGTGAAATTTCTCGGTTGGGGTTGAAATAATTCAATCCACAATATAGTGAACTCACATCGTATGTCCCTGTCAATAATAATCAACCACGTCGTCCTTTTGCAAATTTTCCAAATTAACGGCATTCTGAACTTCAAAAAACTATGAAATCGAACTAACATGCTTTATTTGTCTTTTTTCATTCCCTCTCTCTTCTCTTCTCTTCTCCTCCCTCCCACCGCCCCTAAACAGCTCGAATCTCCACCACCCACACAACAACGTCATCAGGGACTCTTTTTGTTTTTTGCTATTCTCTCAATAAGATTGATTTGGAATACACATGGGATACCGCTGGGCAGGCTCCATGTATGGTGGAGAATCAGAATGCAAAATGAGCTAGTGCTTAGAGACGCTGAAGAACACCTACACTAGTCTCGCAGTCCCAAATTCCCAATATTTGATCATATTTCAGTATAGAACCACCAAACACAAGCCCACATTGGTCATGGTTCAGTAGAGAATAGTCTGGCACGTGCACTGCGGGTTCTCATCCTCTCAAAGCCTTAAACCAAATTTTCATCACCTTTTCTCATTACATCAACACAAATGAACGCAACAGTCTTCACAGTCTCTGGTGGAATATGGAACCACCGAATATACAACAACCACACAATCTCTTGGTCGTCTCTATAACAAACAACATAAGACTATGGGGGAATATACACATGTATACAAACAACCTAATTAAAATGTGAAAACTAGTAACAGAGTATGTTCCACTTGTATTGCTGCTATCCTCATCTACTGAATCTCTATCTAATCCGTCAAAGTAAAATACAGAAGACATGTCAAATGGGTCTGCCCAGCCAATTCCTGAACTGGGCAAGTATGACGGCCCCTTCTATGAATCCTTCTTGGCCCTCTGAAACCTCTGCTTGGCAATACTCATAATATACTCTATCTCCTCTTTAACTTCTTTCATTGAAGGCCGATTCTGTCGTCGTTCCTCCAAGGTCCAAGCACCCTACTGCTAGCAACCCCAATGCCTTCATGGTGTACATTCAAATTAAATCTTTTTGAATGGCTAATTTGGTTCGACAGTACATCAAACAAGTTCTACACAATCTCAACCCTGCAAAGGCCATATCATCCCATCTTTTACATGTTAGTTGACAACGAATGCATCAGCAGATGGGAGCATTACAGTATTTGTTCTAGCCAGAGATTTCAATAGCCCTGACTTTGGGCCTTTTAGAGTCTTCCTTGGGAATGGTTAATTACTGTAAGAACTCTGTTTTCCATGGCCGCTTTCACTTGGTCCACCTTTGCATTTTCCCGCAACCTGAACCGACGAGAAGGTCTCCGACAGCGGTGGAGATTTGGGCTGTGTGGGGGCGGTGGGGAGGGAGGAGAAGAGCAGAGAAGAGCGAAGGATTAAGAAAAGAAGAGGGTAATAATTGAATTTGATGATGGTTTGTTTGAGTTCATACTGCCGTTAGGTTTAGACTCCGTCAGTTTGATATGCAGGAGGAAGATAAAAGAAACTGATAGATGGTGGATATTTTCTTTCACTCTCTTGATGCCGCGCGCAACATGAAGTCATGAACCGTGCCTAGCTCACGAAAAAAAAGCAACATACACCCAATATATAACTAATTGGGCACCATCTTTCTGCCTACCTTCTCATCAGCTCCCAAGCTTCAAAATTCCATGCTTGTTGCCCATATTTATCTTCCTGCCAATTGAGCTTCTTCTGCAGATTGTGTCGTCCCAACTCAAGAAGAATCAAGATGGGGGACGATAGCATTGGGGGCCGCTTATCTGAGTTCATTGGAAATTTGGGTGGTTTCCTACGAAAGTTTATCTTTTCTGTGCTATCTGTAGGTCCCATCCCCAACCACATTGCTTTCATCTTGGATGGAAACCGAAGGTATGCGAAGAAGCATAATCTGAAAGAAGGGGATGGACATAGGGCTGGGTTCGTGGCCCTCTTGTCCATGCTCAAGTACTGCTACGAGCTGGGCGTGAAGTACGTAACAATCTACGCCTTCAGCATCGACAATTTCAATAGACGGCCCGATGAAGTTCAGTATATTATGGGTCTGATGCACGAGAAGATTGAAGGGATGCTCAAGGAAGAGAGTTTTGTGAGAAGTTATGGTGTGAGGGTTCATTTTCTGGGGGATTTGAAGCTCTTGCACCAATCAGTCAGGATAGCAGCGGAGAAGGCAATGAGAGTCACTGCCAATAACACCAAGTTCGTGCTCTTAATCTGTGTGGCCTATACATCGACGAACGAGACCGTCCATTCTGTCCACCAGTGCTTTAAGGAGAAGCGCAGACCGATGGATAAGTTTCAGGAGGAGGAGCAGCAGCAGCAGCAGCAAGGCTTAATCAAGTTGGTTGATCTGGAGAGGAACATGTATATGGCCCTGGCCCCTGATCCTGACATCTTAGTCCGAACCTCTGGGGAGACTCGCCTGAGTAATTTCCTTCTCTGGCAGACTGCTTTCTGCTATTTATATTCTCCGGCCAAGCTCTGGCCGGAGATATCGTTGTGGAACCTGGTGTGGAGTGTCCTCAACTTCCAGCGAGCCTATCCTTATCTGCTGAAGACAAAGATGAAACGCTACTAGCTCTTTGAAGTTTGAAGTTTTAGCCTTTTAGGGCATGCACTAAGACCCGGTCAATTTAGCTTTTAATTAATCCTATCGATATTCGAATCCAATTTTAGCCATTGGATTTGATTTTGATAGTAAAAACAAAAAAAAAATAAACTATCACACTATATATTAATAAAATAATGAATTAGAAATGACTTAGATATTATATATTATTAATAAAAGTATCCATGATTAGACTTGAAGTTACCAGCTTAGCTTTAATGAAAATATGATGTGTAAAAATATGTTAATTTTATATAGAATATACATGGTAATATCATCAGAATGTAAATGGGATCAGATTGGGGTTGATCAATATTTCGTCTGGGTTTTTTGGGTGAATTACAGATAGGTATCTTGTATTTTGGGAATAGTTTTTTTTTTTTTTCCGAATCTTTGGGGGTAGACCTGTTCATGGGCCGGGTGGCCCGACGGGCCGGCCCGGCCTGGCCCGACCCCCGGACGGGCTTAGACATTTTTATAGGCCCGCGGGCTTAAATTCGGGCCAAAAAGCC